GAAAGGAAGTGTACAGAACATGACAATATTAAAGGAAAATGTACATTTTAATAAGAAAGGTAGGTGTACGTAACAGCTTAGAGGGAGATAAAGATATAGGTGGAGAGAACAGAAGATATAGATGTAGAGAACAGAAGATATAGAGGTAGAGAACAGAAGATATAGATGTAGAGAACAGAAGATAATATAGAGGTAGAGAACAAGTTATAGGTGTAGAGAACAGAAGATATAGATGTAGAGAACAGAAGATATAGATGTAGAGAACAGAAGATAATATAGATGTAGAGAACAAGTTATAGATGTAGAGAACAGAAGTTATAGGTGTAGAGAACAGAAGTTATAGATGTAGAGAACAGAAGCTATAGATGCAGAGAACAGAAGATAGACGTGTAGAGAACAGAAGATAGACGTGTAGAGAACAGAAGATAGACGTGTAGAGAACAGAAGATACAGGTGTAGAGAACAGAAGATACAGGTGTAGAGAACAGAAGATACAGGTGTAGAGAACAGAAGATACAGGTGTACAGAACAGCAAAGGGAGGAGAACAAAATAGCAGAGGGAGGTGTGCGGAAGAGCAGAGGGCAAGCCAAGGTACAGAGCATTGCAGAAAAATGTACAGAACAGCAACAAAGTAAGTTGACATAACAGCAGAGGGAGGTGTAAAGAACAGCAGAGGGGGGGGGGTGGACAGAATAGCAGAAGGAAAGGCATCGAACAGCAAAGGGAATGTGAACAGAAGAACAGAGGGATGTGCACAGAATAGCAGAAGGACATATGTAATACAAATTCAGAAAAAGAGAGTGGCACAGATTTATCAGAGTGAGGTGAACAAAACAGCAGAAGGAAAAGTACAGAGCAACTGAGAGGGAGGTGTACAGAAGAGCAGAGGGGGGTGTATCGAACAGCAAAGAGAGGCGTACAGAACAGCCGAGGGTGGTGTATAGAAGAGCAGAGGGAGAGGTACAGAAGAGCACAGGGGAAGGCATACAGAACAGCCGAGGTACGAAGAAGCTCAGAATATGGTGCAGCCTACAACCCAGTAGAGAGGTGTTCACAACAGGAGAAGGGAAGGAGAGAGCAGAGAGGTGTTCAAAACAGGAGAGGGGAAGGACAGAGCAGAGAGGTGTACAGAAGAGCAAAGGGAGGTGTATAGAATAAGCAGAGGGGAGATACTGTAGATTCATCAGGTGTAGAAAACAGTAAAGAGAGGTGTACAGAAGGAAAAATACAGCAGTCCAACTCAAAGTAAGGTGTACAGAAGGAAAAATACAGCAGTCCAACTCAAAGTAAGGTGTACAGAAGGAAAAATACAGCAGTCCAACTCAAAGTAAGGTGTGCAGAAGGAAAAATACAGCAGTCAAACTCAAAGTAAGGTGTACAGAACATAAGGAGGGAAAGGACAGCAGAGGGAAAGTTTAGTTTTAGTAAAGGTTTTACGGCGCTCGCAACTGCATAAGGTCATATGAGCACCAGAAGATTAGAGGTGTTAAAAGAGAGTACCAAACATAAAAAAGAAGGAGGGGAGATAAGGACGATAGATGTTTGATAGGAAAGAAGAAGCAAACCACACCAGAGCACCCGCCAACCACCCACGCAGAGAGAAAGGGACAGAGCAGCTCAGAGTTAGGTGTACATAACAGCAGGAGGCGTACAGATTCAGCAGAAAAAGTAAGGTAGAGAGCAGCTCAGAGGGAGGTGTACAGAAGAGAAGAGAGGGGTGTTCAGAAAAGCAAAAGAGGTGTACAGCAGAAAAAGGTGTACAGAACAGCAGCAAAAAAGACAGGGAGCCACTCATAGAGAGGTGAACAGTACATAACATCCGAGCAAGGTAGAGCAGCAGTACATACTTCTCGCCGGTGGGGTTATTCCAATTGGGCGGCACTCGGAGCGGCTCCCTGTTGTACATGCCGCTCACGCCACTGTCTATGTTACTGCTGGTCTCCGAACCTTTACGCAGCCCGCTAGCGGTGGCCTTCCGCGCGGATATCCGACCGCGGGGGTGCTCGCCAGAGGGAGGGGGAAAGTCTACGAAAGCCTGAGGGTTCTCCGCGCGCCAGGCGCTCAAGCCGCAAGAGGTCTGAGCCTCCATCTCCACCAGCGACTTCTTTGCGGCAGAGTCGCGGGACGAGTGGTGGTGGTGGTGGTGGTGGTGGATGTGCCGATGGGTCTCCGTGCCACACGAAATGAGGTTGCCGCGGTCGTCAGGCAGTCCGCTGTCACACGAAGACAGGGCGGCCGAACCAAAGTCCCGCTTTTTGTGATGGTGGTGGTGGTAGCCGCGGCCGCCCAGATTGGGCTGCCCCCCTCCTCCGCCGCCCGCACTTCCCCCTAGAGAGCCGCTGCCGCCCGGAGCGGGTACAGGCGTGGCGTTGGATCCCGAGGAAGAAGACATCCCTTTGGCTCGGCTGCGGGGGTCCTTGTGTCGCTCGGGGGACTTGCCGTGAGGCGGGGACTGTCGGCCGGGCGGGGAGTAGGAGGGCGTGTGGTGGGAGGACGAGGCCCAGATGCGCGAGCAGTGCTGGTCCAGGATGCTCTCGGCCGTCTCCTCCTCCATGGTGAGCTTGAGCGGCATGAAGGAGGCGGAGGTGTTGTGTTTGGCAAACGACGTGACCAGCTTCTCCTCCTCTGACTGGGACTTGTCCACCTGATACAGCCCGGCACCATATGATGGGGGG